ATCGCATATAATAAAAGATCTTTCGTGATCCGACTATCCCGAGCTGGATTAATACGATTCTCGTCATAAAAGCAGAACGAGAGGACGGGATGAGGTCGTGACTCGTGACCCATTTACGCGACGCCCAGAGGGACCCGCCGCGACACAGATTGAAAACTAATCGCATCGCTGCACAGGGTATTTTGATGCACAAATATTTTTTTACTTTGACTACTGTTCCAAAGTAATAGGTAGTTACAGCTCTTAAGATTCGTAGCAATCAATAACTTAGAAGAAATCTCTGATACATTGAAGCCTTATAGGAGTATCGCTGATTTTGCCATGAAAAACTTGCAAAAAAGATCAAGATAATTTTCATCAGCTTAATTAAAATTTCTATCTTAAGAGAAAAAAGCCAAAGATAAGCCTTCTGAGTTAATGACTAAAATTACTTTCCCTTCTTCAACAAACAAAAGACCCGTCTCTTACCAAGGCTTGAACTTCTTAGAGAATCCTTGAACTTTTGTAAAGATCACATTATCTGCAAACTTGGAGAAATTATGATGATGCTTAGAGGATTTTATGAATAGTCCAGGTACACCTGAATGTGTGAGGGTTAGAGAATAAACCTATTTATTAACAAAATATGGTACAGTAAAGGCTAATCATGCAGCTAAATTAAATCTAGTAGGTAACATACTTTTCTGTAACCGTTTAACACTTTTAAGGACACTGCCTATATTTTTGAAAGGTGCAGTTGAGTTACACCTTGTCGATTTTAATAATTCTAGAAAGTATAGAAATCATACAAACAATCGTTTACAATATAAAAAAGATCGTAAGAAACTATACAATGAAAGCTATAAAAAATGATCACACATAAAATACGGATATTAAACCGTTACAAAAAGTGGCTGGATAGGACCTTGAAACACAACTCGATCTAGTTACAATGAAAACTCATGACTAGGCAAAAAATGCTAGAAAAACGTCGAATGCTTTCTTAACAAGTTTAAACGGCGTCTATTTGGCGATAAACGGACAAAAAAGACAAATTAAATAAGGATCTTTTGTCGAATATAAAACTAAAAAAGCGTTAATTTTGGACCATTTGGATTAATGAAATCTTAAGTCAAACTATCATTTCTATATGTCACAGCGACTCAATTTTCACCGTCAAAAGTAAACGTGACGACAAAGTTCAGCATTTAAGGACATGAGGTATTTGTACAAATTGGCTCTGATGACTATCTCGACAAACTTTGGTACTATTCAATAATGGGAAGAACAACTGATGTTAGGAATTTCTCTTTTATGTTCTTCTATACTTGTAATTTTAAAACTAGTGGAATATTTAAATCAGTTCTGGTGGTAGGAACCCTACAACCAACATATTGTGCCTTTTCTCCCTTATTCACCAGCCGCTAGAAAGCCATACAAATTGTAATACGTGTGAAATAATAAAAGCGGTCGCAATCATCGTGTCAGCGTTTACGGGCGCACATAAGCTAGAATTGATGTCATCTGACACCGCAAGACATCGTCCCTGGCGGATAATATGGGTTTATTACGAGAGTCTAGAATATGGGCGAGGCGTGTCGATCGAGTAATGTTCTGCTATTGGGTCACCAATGCCACAATATCAAACAATCTATTTTGTATTGCATTGAACTTATTCGATCTATTGGTGTAAGGTATATAGTTAAAATATGATTGAAGTTTTTAGATAAAATAATTTATCTAAAACAATTCAGTGAAAGAAAATATAAAATACACATTCATAATAAAGTAGCAATAATGTTCAACGTAAAAAGTTGGCGTACACGAAAACCCAATTAAGGGTAGGCTATCGCAAAATCATAATAACGTTATCGACTTCAAGAGCGACTCGACACGAAAAAGAATTGAAACGATAGAAGGTATAAGACGAAGGAAAATTCTAAATTGAGGTTGTATATCACGCAACACTGTCTCGGCTAAGTCTGCGATAAATGGTATTGGAGGGTGAATACGTTTAGATATTACAGCGATTAGGGATTTAAAAAAATCTACGACTAAAATCAAACATACAATATTGAACATGTAGGGTGTTATTTAATTGTATGGTTTAGCTGTCGATGGAAGCTATCAAATATTTTAATTAAGTCTCTAACTTAGGGTAATAATCGCCTTACTTTCAACTACAACAATCAGATTCTTTAAACAATCAAGTGCTGCAACTCTAGAGATTATTGCATACAACTAAGTAAATAAATATTTGTGCAGTGTGAAAGACTTGATCATTATTGTACCACTATAGAATTTGTAATAAGTGCAGCTGTTCGCAGGTGTCTTAAAAAGCAACAAGACAAACAAAGTGAATTAAAAACTTAGCAAACCATACAAGACTGTTGTTGCGTCTTATATGTCGTAAAAATACGATAAACAAAACAACAGCTGAATAATAAACAGGCAATACAAAAATAATCCAACAGTGTACAGAGTTATGTAAGTAGGGAGTATATTATTGAGGGAGCATCAAGGACGAAGGGAAGCTACGTGATGTGGATGTAATGAAGCATTCAGCTTATTTTAAGCAAAAAAGCTAAAACAGGAAGCCAGCGCGCGCGCTCGAGCAAACATAGCATAATAGGCATTCAAGCTTTTTGCGAAGCCCTTTAACCTTTGAATGGTGAATGGATTAAATTTCTATTCAATTTAATTGAATAACAGAGCTCTGAGGGAGCTTTTGAACGCGAATAATGGCGGGGACATTGTTGATAATAATTTGCTAATGCAAATTACGGTGCAGGAGAGTACGTGGCTGACTTCAATGGAAACTCTTGTATGTAAAAACGTTTGCAGTGTTTTGGCATCGACTCAGTTGAGTGACGTCACATATTTATATGTCAACAGTGACTGAATATTTTACACGTGTTACGTCAACATACATTGAATTTAAGCGAAGATAATTTATTAATCGAAAATTGCATCTGACGAGTTTCAGCTCGAAATTTTAAATTTATCTTCACTTACAATATATATAAAAATCATTATGTTTATTTTTTTACATAAACTCCCAAGGCAAGGAATCTTGCTTATCTGGAGGAACTCAATTTATATCAAATAAATAAATCATTAAACGAAAACCACTTTAAATCTATGAGCGACGTAAGCAGTCAGCCAAACGAAATTGTAACAATGTTTTTATCTAATTGAGATAACGCAACAGACTGAGTTATTTGGATATGCTTCCTGATAGCTTTGTAAATAAAACAAACTTCAACAAAATAAAAGTCACGAGGTGATCTCGGCTTGTAAACTTTGGCACTGGCGATAAGCCAGAATCTAAAACACAGGAGGCCCCTGTCCGTATCAAATAAACATTTTTTCGGCGAAACACACCGATACAGTATGTATTTGATCCGGTGGAAACCGGCGGAGGTGATTATCGCAGTGTCACGGGCACGAGCCAGGGATTTGAACATAATCTGTGTGCGACATTGACACGAACAGCTGCTCGTTATGTGCCGCCTTATATAATATCTGCACTTTGTTGAGATCAATGTCAAAAGGCCCATTTTAACCTAGATTTGGAGTGCGGACCGACATCTGAATCAGGTGATAAAGCTTCGGTTATTGAGATGTTTTTAGTTTAGTCTACCAGATGTGGTCATTCAATTCACGTTTGTTTTTTCCGGTGAACGTTACGTCTATCCCGTATTTTTCATGGTATTGATCTGGCAAATATATTTTTTTTTAATCTAGTTATTACATTAGTTTATGTGAGCCGTTCTCTCGCCAACTCTCACATCGTTAGGTTAGAGGGTACATCAAGGAAATTGTCACTTATCCATCCGGTGCCGGTTTCCATCCCGTATATCCTGCCAATTGGAGTTTACTCAGTAAACGAGAAAACAGTGATGAATTAACAGGTGCATCGCCGATACATTGACGTCATACTCTGTTCCGATTCGTTTTACTGTTTGAGTTATTTCCGTACAAAAATAACCGTGTGCCATATTGGTCGCATTCCAACCAATAATAACGTGATTCTAAAAGTGATACGCACGAAATTGTCATAGCGACGGACGCGATGCAAATCTGTGTACGTCAGACGTCAGGAGTTGAAGAATTCGAAGCACACGATAAATCTAACTCTATTACAATGTGATTGGGTTCAATTTGAAGCGGCAGGGGGTCGGTGGAAGCAGAATCGGCACAGACCATACGAGCTCATATTGTAAAGGATTAGAGTATGAAATAGTTCCAGTATGTAACGACGGAGATACAGTCAATAGAGACAAGCGGAGCAATTTGCCTATTGCTGATGTCAATTATCGCCCCCCGCGCTTATTACAGAATTAAGGCAAGAGTGTCAGTAAATTCTGCGACGCCTCTGCAGATCGCGCGAATTGAGAGGAAGCTGGCTAACCGGCTGTTACCTGACATGAGCTATTAATGTTGTTTATTATTTTTGGTTTGGGAAATGTTTGGAGTTGTGCGCAAGAAGTATCTATAAGGAGAAGTACGTATAGAATACGTCCAACTTAACAAAACCTCGTAATTTTCACATTGATTACCAATACAGTTGAATAGCAGGCGTTACTAATAAATCGGACGACCGCAGCAGTAAAATTAACGGCGCCCATTCCGAACGTCAGCGCCAAATGCTTGCCCTGTTTAATTCGATGTTAATTTCACGAAACCAATTCAACATGAACGTTAAACTTCTGAATTATAATTAGTGAAAATTAATTTGATAAAAATATTCAATCAGAATGAGCACACATTTCTACACTATAAGTTTGGGTGTGAAAGAATATAACAGAAAGATTTTCATGTGGTATGAGTATAGATAAAATATATATGTCAAAAATTTTACCTAGGAAACCTAGTGTTAGGATCATTAAAAAATAATGATAGGCTCAACATTGAAAAGGTCGAAAGCAAATACGGCGTTACCTACTTAAACTACAGAATAGTAATAAAAAAAAGACGTATAGTATGAAAATGTTAAGCAAGTGGCTTGGTAGACTTACCTGGCATAAAGTGCAACAGCGCCGCTGTGATGGGGTAAAGACTAGGGCTGTAGGTGATGTCCGGACAGGCGTAGCCGAGGACGGAGACCACGCGGTCGGCGACCGCCCTGCCCTTGCGAGTCAGGTGGTATCCGAGACAGTGGGTCGCCTCCACGAACGGAGGGAGCATGATCGGCTTGTCTGGGAGCTCCACAGTTCCGAACACCTGTTGACCAAATATGATGGCGTATAAGAAACAATTTATCTTCATAATAATATACCAGTACTCCAAAAACCACCTAATGATATATGTGGGGCAAAAATAATACAGTTACGCAATTTAAATAAAAATTAAGTGTTTTTAAAATGTTCTGATTTCTTTACAACTTTTCAGCTTCCGGTAGTAGACATTTCTCACCTAAATTGCCTAATCAAGCTACAAGGATCTATACTTAGTCATTTCCTATGTAATTATGGTTACGAGCGATGTAAAGCCAAGTGAGGAAACTAGATGAGATGCTGTTTCAATTACATGTTCACCAATTGGCATTACCAAAGTCTAATTAAGGCAAAAATCCTTTTGACGTGTTTTTTAGGGTTGTCGTATATTCTTACATGAAGAGTTATATTATATCGTAAACATGTAGTCGTAGAACTCTTTTTTTTTGCTCTTTTTCTACAACCTTTATTAGCAACGTTTGCGTCGTTTTGTGCTTAGTTTGAATGTAGATAGAATTTGTCGGAAATTGATTATGTAAAAGATGTCCCGAGAAAGATAATTTGATGTTCGTGAAAAATTTATAGTCTTTTTTCACACAATTTCTATTCGTATTTTTATGTTAATAGTTTATATTTCACTAAAGTGAGAATATTTGAAACAAAATCACATAACAAAACGTAAAATAAACTTATAAACAATACTCTAATTTTCATTACTTATATATTGGCTAAGAGAGATAGCATTTTCTTTTAATTCAGACTTGGTATAAACAGGTGTAACCAAATCGAGAACACGAAACGACCATTATGCTTAATTTCGCTAAGCCTATTTAAAAATAAGTCCTGTATATAATACCACCACATTCGAGGATTCGCAAATTGCTCTAGTAAACACCTTCAAATCTCTCATCCATTCTGTCGTCGACAAAAGCAGGTTCGTGATTATTCACTTTACAGCAAGGCCGAGCAAAGTGGGCTCGGACAAATTATACCTTTCGTGTGCATACACTGGGTATACACATCGCGATAGTAATAGAGGAATGAAGTCTTAGCAAAGTGACGTACCTCGTCGCACATATTATCTTTTATTTAGAACTTCGTTGTTACTTCACGAAGGCCCAAGGAATGTGAAAAAAAAACAGGATTAATACCAGTAAAACTTTGATAGCATTTCGGGATCTTTCTACTTTAATTCAAGTTTTGCAATAAATGTGTAAAAAGTATCTAAATTCAACTTATCGTCATGTCTGAGCAAAAAGTTGAACAACTACCAACCGCTTACTTCTTACCACCATCCATTAATCCATTTAGGGTTCGACGAACGTTAATCTAGCGCAAGATAAGCGCAATGACAACTCGATCGGCTAAGATCTTATGTATTGCGTAAAATGGACGGATCAACGACCCGATAGCTCCGTGAATGCGACGAGCGATACATAACGTAAATACGGAGGAGCGATCCTCAGGCGGGTGATACTAAATTCGTACGTTAAAATCTATGAGACGGTGGTAATTCCCAACCGGGTGACAAAAGATTTACGTAGATATAAGTCGCTCCTTATGTCACAATAGAGTATATAACTGGAAACGTCAATTAGTTGAGACTTAGCGTCCCTGGTCGGCGTAAGTATAAATCTGCTGAAAAAGGAAACAGCCAGTTTTCTATAATAATTGAGGTAAAGTATAATCGACGGAAATCTATCGCATAGTTGAGAATTGCCTCCTCTAGCTGATTTGTCACAGCGACAAAAATCTAAACACCGGTTGCCAATGCCAGGTCTATATATAGACGTCACCAGTGCTCATAAATTCGCGAACATAGTTCGAGATTAAGAATAACAAGGTACATACTTTTGGATGTGGATAATAATTTCAAAATCCCTGTTAACACGCGAAGATTTAAAATGGTATCGCCAAACTTGCTCAGAATCGTCTCAGTATAACTCTGATTTGCAACATATGTGAGGTTATTCTGTACTTATAAGTACTAAGGTGGAACTAGGACTTACAAACTCAACTGGAAATCGAACCAACAAGCTCGATTTGGGCGTCGAATACATTCCTACAAACTCCCAAATGTGACCATTCAGATTTCGCATAAAAATTAATTTAAAAAAAAGTTTTTAAAACGTCAAAGTATGCATGTTTTCGAATGAATTTAAAATGGCATTTTTAAGTGACCCATTGTCAGATCATATGAGTTGGCGTATAGCGGCTTGGATAATGATCGCTCAACTTATTTATTATTTTTTTCTTATAAAACCGGCAAAAAAAATTACATAAGCACGAAACTTTCACTGTGGTTCCGTCTTTCTTGAGTACGTGCAGGCATAAATTTGTGTCCGTTTCCGCATTGAATTTTATTAACAAACCTTCACTAACGAAACTAGTGTTTGAAACTGGGACCTCTTGCAATGTAAGCTGCGCGACATTGTAATTCGAAGAAAGTCCGGGATAAAATCTAATTAATCTCTATTATATGTGATAATAAGATGGGCATTTGCTAATCGATCAGTTTTCTACAGAGAAAAACTGCAAACTTAACTTAGAGTTATGTACCTATAGTTTTGAACGGCAAAATTAGATTTTTTTGGTATGTTGGCTAAGGCGCAATAAAACAACATATTTATAAAACAGTGTGAGTGTGAAATCCTGTTTCCCCCTCGTGGGGCATGGGGCGAACACATTTCTGTGTCCGATTCACTGATCTGTTCTTTTAACAGGCAAGTAGTTGATCAGACGTCTGTGCCCTACCTGTCCGAAACAATTTTTGTTTCCCTGGGATTAAAACTCAGGACCTCTAGCGCTTAACGCAATGCTAGGCAATACGTACCATAACCATGGCTACAGAGGCGATCAAAAAAAAGACCAAGACCACTAGACCAAAGGTTAAAAATAGTTTAAAGTTATATATATATATATGGTAGTCTACATACGATGAGTATATTGGACCTGAATGGCAATACAGTGTAATACCAATATAACTATTAAACGGTGAAATAAATAGAATATCATTACATCTGGAATTAAAACAGCACAGTGATCAACAGAGCCACGCCTCTGCGCGGGCGCATTGTCCTTCGCTCAGTCAAGGCCACCCACTACCGCGCTGGAAACAACACATGTTTGTAAATCAATACAAACCTGTTCTCGGGCGGTAATAGTTTTTAATTTGTTTTCATACACATATATTTTTAAGAGCGTTACTAAGTTATAAACGAGTAAACGGCTGAGTTGTTTGAGATGAAATTTAGTAGGTATTAAGCTTTTTAAATTCTTAAACCTAAACATAACAGATAATTAATAAATAATAATAACGTTTTAGACATATTTACGTTGCGTTTCATTATTATAAAACAATATATATTAGATGAATGACTAAAGCCGAAATAGTGGACAGCACATCTAGTTTCTTTGCAAACCTCTATTTCCCTTTCTTCAAGTGATCGCCATGCTTAGACAAGGAAATGAGGATAGACGACCTTTTCCATTGCAATAATTTTTATTTATTTAACAAAATACGAATAAGGATGTAAATATTCTTTACTATCAACATAATATATACTCCATTCACTCCATCTTTGAGTTAGCCATAAAAAAAAACATTAAAACGTTTGCAAATAATAAGTGTCACAATTATTAAGCCATAATCCGGTTTTAAACGGATTAAATATAGAAATTATTATAATTATAGCAACCGGAGTAACAATTAAATTAATTACTGAGCGCTCGTAAAACTCAAGAGAGGTCCATTAATTATAATATTTGAATAATAGTATGTGAATAAACTATATTGCCCGTGAGAGTTAAGTTGTTAGTTATAGCGGAGCGCAATAAAATACCTCCGGTATACCATTGGTTTCCATTTTGTTTCAAACTCATTATTAAGTAAAATATTCTCTGAATATCCTAAGCCAAAATGGGCGACAGCGTATCTTGTTTAAATGTTATATGGATTGGGTATTTCATTTATCCCGAAAGGTCACATAAAAAATAACCATACTAGAAAAAATATAAAGACCGATTTCGTTCTATTTTAAGTAAGTCTAGTCTAGTTTAATTAATTAGTGCACAGCTTTGATATATATTTACTTGAAGACGCTTATACCATAACAAATATCCTTTTAGAAAGCCCAAACCCACCAGTGGGAGTTCTTAAATGGCTATGAAGTTGTGATTGACCATGACGGCCTTATTAGGCGAGTAATAAGTCGTAATCAGGATCACGAAGTATGAAGCAAGTGGGCGGAGCGCTAAGGCCCTAATTAATCGGGCACAACCTCAACGCGACCTCTTGCTACGAACAATCAACGCTTAATTCAATAAAGTGGACCGACGCTCGCCAAATTGCAAATTTGTTACATCCCCTGCTTCACTGCGTATATAGCAAGGGACGCGTTTTTGACGCCTGAGTAGTGTATAACTAACAATAGGATTAGAAATCCGTTTACAACCATAGATAATAGATTGTGGGCAATCATTTTTGGTGACAAAATTTGTATGTACCTGATATACAGTTAACAGGCGCAATATACCACATCCGTCTTTTAAAATAGCTTTACAATTGAGGTAGTTAGTAGTTTAGGTTAGATAAAATGAAAATATATTTAGGCGTTCACAAAAAGGGATTAAACTTACGCGTTTATTTATTATTTAACTTGGTTTTATCTTATATATTTATAAGCCTTATTTTGTACAATTCATGAGGCAACTCCAAAATCGGAACTTTTATAAATCGCCATCTTTAAAAACAATTAAAACATGGTGGACAAGCAAGATTTTAAGAGATAATTCCATACTCACTAATAGTTCCGAAATATGACATTTATATAACCCAATTAAATAAACTCGATAATAAGACATTATAATAACACTGCGCAATCTAATAATATAAATTGTTGTATTTATATAAATTTTATTGCCTTAATGAAATTAATATGTAGCGATAACATTCGACCACTTTCATTTGTAAACATAGTTAAAATGAGAGGTACACGCGGACCTTGT